ATACTGTGATATATACTGTGGTCTGCTAGGATATACTAGGGTATACTGTAATAGGGTTTAGGGTTTAGGGTTTAGGGTTTAGGGTTTAGGGTTTAGGGTTTAGGGTTTAGGGTTTAGGGTTTAGGGCAAATGTGGAACCCAAGGCCGCCAGGAGCCGGTCCACCGAGCAGATCCAGCTCCAGCCATGGAAGGACGCCGGATTCGGGTGCCGTTCCTTGCATTCGAAACAGAGGAGCGTATATTATAGTATGTTACATGTATATTATGGTATGTTAGAGTGTATTATAGTATGGTATAGTACAGTGCATTATATTGTGTGTATATATATATATATAATATACACATCATACTGCAACATGACCTGTGAGAGGAGAACTGGCGCTCGGCTTGGGTCCAGCGGTGGGCCGCAGACTCTGAGCTTGCCAAGTCTTGAACAGTCGGTGACCGTTGTCCTCCCTGTCCAGTCTCTCAGTCCCTCACATCGATATTCGGTCTTTCGCCTCTCATCGTCCCCGATTGCATGATCGGCTGCCAGTTCTTATGCTGCTTCTGAAGATCCGATGGTGCGACCGCACGCACTGGCCTGCTGCAGAGTCGGTCACAACTGTATCAAGTCGGCTGAGGCGTAGCCAGCGCAGCCAAGAAGAGGGATTGCTGTTCTTCAACGATCAGCCATGGTCCTTGCTGCTCAAAATTTGGCTTCTCTTGTATGCAAGTGCGCATCATTTGCGCCCTTGTCATGCAAGGCATCGGGAAAAGACTCCCTCCCTGCGGAGCTCGTACTCGCAGTTAAGCACATCGTCTTCTTTGTGGCTGGAGGCCGGTCGCTCACCATCCCGATGCAACACTGTAGCCGCACCCGATGCATGGGATAGCAAGGTGGAAAAAGCAGTGCAGGAGGAAGTGGCCAAGGTGCGCCGAACCCCCTTGATGCAACCCTCATCCAAACATCGGCGAGTGCTAAGGTCGTCAAGCCGCTGCAGCAGCAGCTCCACACTGAGGCAGGAATTGCACAAGTCGATCTCTGGAAAGGTAGAGGGTTCCGATGAAGACAGGAGGAGGCTCGGAAGCGTGCCGAGGAAGCGCTGAGGCCGGCAGTTGAAGCCTTCGGGCCGCGACAAGAGCTGCTGCGGCTAACTGATGCCAGGATCCTTGGTGGCACGCCAGAGTCGGAACCGCAAGCATGAATTCGAGGCAAGAGTGCATCTCCTGCCTGTGGCGTTTCACAAACACACGTTTCACGGTCTCACAGTTTGCCAGCCGCGATGTGCACGAAGTGGCGGGCTGCGAAACCGTGCATGTCTTTATCTTTATTTTTTATTTTTACTTTTTTTTTNNTTTTTTCTCTCTCTCTCTCTCTCCCCGCCTAGCCCGCTTGCATTGACTTGACATTGAGATTGCTCATTGCCATCGCCACCGGATGCTTCCGCAGCCGCTCAGACTGGAGCATACTGAGCATGGCCAGGACTGCTAGCACCCTACAATATCCCAGACTAGATCACTCCAAAAACACAACATCAACTAACACACAACTTACTATTAAAAGACCATAATAACCAAGCATGGCCGGTTGGCCTCGCCTTGGGGGGAAGCGCCGGCGACCTGATTGGAATGACCACGAGGCTTCAGCGGGGGCCCAAAGCTGCGCTCCGCGGATTTTTTTGGGGGTTTTGGGGCTTAGGAGGAGGCCTTCAAATCCGGGGTTCGGTTTAGGGTTCAGGGGTT